GTGTGTGTAGTAATGTATAGTTGTGTGTGTATTTGTAGTAATGTGTAGTTGTGTGTGTGTAGTAATGTATAGTTGTGTGTGTGTGTGTTCACAGCCTGAGGCGCTGGGCACAGTGACAGTGACACATGTGCTTCTGTATTGCACATTCTGACGTTAGCTCAAAGTATTGCACCTGTACGGTCTAAAGTCAGACGCACCTGTCGTGCTCCTTGTCCACCAGGTGGTACCGCGCCCTGAAGGCTACAAGTCGAGCGTAGTAGGCGGGAGCAGGGATGGAGACGGAGCGGGTACAGCGCACGTACGTGTGGCACAACTGGTACGTTAAGATCTGCAACTCGTCCGCAGTGAAACGGTTGTCGTCCCATAGAACGTAGTAATGAGACGGTCTGCTGGTACCCTGCAAGAGACCAGATTATAATACACCCATGGTATCGCAAGACAATATCCCAGTGACAACAGACTCTACACAGGTTAAACTTAGGACTTACCATGTGTAAACTCTGGTCCATGGTCATCTCCTACATGTACGTCTGGTCTTACCATGTGTAAACTCTGGTTCATGGTCATTTCCTACATGTACGTCTGGTCTTACCATGTGTAAACTCTGGTCCATGGTCATCTCCTACATGTACGTCTGGTCTTACCATGTGTAAACTCTGGTCCATGGTCATCTCCTACATGTACGTCTGGTCTTACCATGTGTAAACTCTGGTCCATGGTCATTTCCTACATGTACGTCTGGTCTTACCATGTGTAAACTCTGGTCCATGGTCATTTCCTACATGTACGTCTGGTCTTACCATGTGTAAACTCTGGTCCATGGTCATTTCCTACATGTACGTCTGGGTCTGATCCTAGTGGCTGCAGTTTCCTCGGTTGAATCCCCTCCGACCAATCAGAGAGCGGGGGAGGCGGGTGTCGGTGACGTCAAGAGTTTGTGCTGAATTTGCTGGTTGTAGTTTGTCGGAGAATGTGATAGTAAAATAATCTGTTCTGGTTCAATCCAAATATCAAGAAACTGAAGCAAGAGTCTGCCGTGCTCCTGCTTGGTTGGAGTGAAAACCTGCAGCCACACCGGCCCTTTGAGAACCGGTTTGAGAGCCCTCGCTGCATGTTTCCTCGGACTCACCTGGATCCCTGCGTGGCTGCACAGGTAGAAGTCGAACTCAAAGGGATGAGTGATGCTGGTGTCCACCGTGGTCCCTGCTGGAATATTACCACTTTTTCCAATCTGGGACAGAAATACAAAGTTATTCCAGAGATGTAGAGTTTATTGGACTGATGAGGACTTAGACGTCTTACCCTTTCAGACTTGTCCGCACAGAAAAGCCGAGTGTGGTGGCGTTTTTGCACGACGATGTAAGTGATGCCGGGCTGATAATCCTTCTCCAGTTTGATGCAGGCGTCTCGGATCGCCAGGAGCTCATAGTGGAGAATCTGAAGGACATTTTAAAACTACTATTATTGTTCGATCCTTAGAATGATCTATGTAATTGTTTTGTTCGAATGAATGGATGAATGAGGGCGACAGTGGCTCGGTGTGTAGAGCATTGGTCTTTGAGCCTGAAGGTCTTGGGTTCGAGTCCACCACGAGCCGCTGACTGCCACCCCCGAGCCAGAAATGGACAAAGGGGAAGAAGATGGATGGATGTGTTTCTGCTGCTACTGGACACTTGGATTTCTGCTACAGGGATCAATAAAGTATCTATACATTTTTAATTAAATGTACATTATTTTATGGAACACAAAGTAAAAGGAGGAGGGGCGACAGTAGCTCAGTTGGTAGAGCATTGGCCTTTGGGCCTGGAGGTCGTGAGTTCGATTCCCACCATGGGACCTACTCCAACTGCTCCCACTGATGTCTGCTGTCGTTGTGTCCTTGGGCAAGACACTTAACCCCACATTGCCTGAAGCCCCGCTGAAAGATCAAGGCTGTTTCACAATTGACGGAGCAGCCATCTTCCTGTGGACTCACCCCCTGCAGAGGACCAGAGGGACTGGTGCTATGAGCGTTGGGGGGCAGCTCTCATTGCCACCCCCCCGACCCAGAAATGGACAAAGGGGTTGAAAATGAAATGAAAAAAAAAAATGAAATGAAAATGAACAAAGTAAAAGGGTAACAGCTGATTTAAAAAAGTGACATGTTATCCCTCTACCTACACCCTCCCACCCTCTGAGTTGTCCTGCCACTAAAACTACAAGTACTACCAGTATTTGCACCCATATATAATTACGTGCCCGCACACGTACTTTTCTTTTTAAATTCGTAAAAAACAAACAAAAAAAGACAATAAAAACAACTATATATTTCTTATTTTAATCAAATCCTCATCCTCATTTACGGATGTATTTATATATTTATGTATGACGACAGAGGGTCCGTGATCACCTGTGGCAGCTGTCCTTCTGGAACCCCGTCCCTGTAGAAGATGATCCTGGTGGGTTTGAAGCGTGTGGACTTGTAGAACTGGATCAACAGTTCTCGCACCATGTAGGACAG